TAATTTTTTAAAGGGGTACTTTATAAAAAAAGGTTGAGAAACATCTAGACTGATAAGCAATTGCTTATCGGATAGTTGACTAGTCACTTTCATCCTTATTCCATTTGTCAATTTCTGAACAGAGCTAGGTACACCAATTGTGAGATGGAAGAGGCTTAGGATACATGGCTTGAGTTACCATCTCCTATTAGTTTAGACAGCTCCCCACCTAGTATGCTGGCTTTTGTGGACTGCATTCTTAGGCATCTCTCTCTATTCATTGTAATAGGGAGCACTGGTGCCTAATTCAGGCTTTGAATCACAGTATTGTATCTCTAATTTTCTAAAAAGTTAGGCACTGTGATGCTCAGCATTGCAATGGCAAAAACCCTTCCCAGTTGCCATTCTTAACTAACATCCCTACTGAAAACACAGTGTTTGTTAGTAATCATGTAGCCACAAAAATTATTGGTTACACGTTTACTAAAATACTCCCCAGGGGCGAGACTGGCAGTCAGTAGTGCTGGTCCACAAGGGAAGCCAGTTTAAAAACCATGGAACAGGTGGTAGGTGGAATCTTTACTCTAATGGGGTCAATAGTCAAACTCCCACTGACTTCAGTCAAGGGTCAGGATTTTACCCAGTATGCAGTTAAGTTTATTAAGATTTCATTTCTTTGCTTCCAAATCATGTGTCAGGTATGTTACAAGTACATACATTTACCGCTACACAGAATACTCTTGCCCATCCATTTATAACAATATTCAGAGCAAATAATGGTAAAAATACAAACTAGATCCAAGGAATGTTCCCTCTAGTCTTTTCCATCCATGAGCAGAATAATTTTTTTCTGTATTCACTGGAAATACAGAACCTAGTGGAGGGTGTTTTGCTAATCAAAACCCAGTGCCGTTTGGGTTTATATGGGGCTCAACACACAGCCAGCAGGTGGTATCCTTTGAACATAGCCTCCACTGGGAACACACTCCACAACAGCGAGTCAGTATAATGGTCTTCTGTTGCTATGCATTTTAGAAGTTAAATTCCTGGACTGTCATTGCTCATTAAAAGTGCTGTCATATGGGTGGAAATCAGGTAAATACTGCATTTTATTAATATCAGCAGAAGTGTCTTAAATTGGGCCTGCGTGTTGTGTGTTTGCCTTAATCTTTGTATTCATGCCAGACAGTATGAAAAGCTATTTGCATATATATTTGCATGTACATGCAACCAAGCTGCGGCCCTTGGCATGTGCTTTGAGTATCATTGTGGCCCCTGGGGCTTCCAAAGTTGAGTAACCCTGATCTAGTCAATAGTTTAAATGAAACATGTGTCCCTGGCCTCACTCCATCATCTATATTAGGCTTTGTAGATATTTTGATTCCCTAGCATCACAGAAAACCAGTTTTATTTGCAACTCAAGGAACAGAGTATTGTGCTGGACCAAATGTAGGCCAGATAAGAGTCTTCACATTGCATGATTTTGGCAAGCCAGTTAATAGTCTTTTGGGAGATGAAAGGAATGGAGTTGTGCTAGAGAGGGAACTGTCTTGCAATCTCCATTGTACACGAGAGGGAGGGAAACTAAACTTAAGCACAAGGATTCAAAGACTAATTCACCCATACTTTTTCAAGTTGAGGAACATCCTCCCTACTCCAAGCTGTAAGAAATCACTGTCAAAGGAGGCAAGACAAGTCTGGCACTGCTGCAAAATTCACTATGAATATTCCTCGCTGCTTTGCTATTAAAAAAAACAAGTTCAGCTCAATTTGTTTTTTGTTGATAACAGGCTGGAAGCACCCACTCACACTAACAAAAACCAAAAGTAATGGTGCATAGTGAAAAGTTTATTTAAACAGTCACAAAACAGCCACACCATACTGAATATAAACAGGCTAACTGAGCTTTGAAGGAAATGCAAGCACAGTATAAATATAGACTTTCTTTGGGTCATAGAGCAAAACATTCAGTGCCACAGTTTGGTAAAGTATCTTTTTTATATTTAAAAACATCCCTTGGCAGGACAAAGAGCAGCAGTTGGGTGCAGAAAACTTGACAGTTTGAAATGACAGTACATTAAAAACATTTCACACCACATGGATGAGGACTGACAAAAACACAGATTAAGGAAAATCTTTAAGATGTGTCCAACTACAAGACATTCCCCATTGAAAAACTACTGAGGGGCCTGTTGCAATGAGATGCAGAGGATAGCCTCTCCATCTTGACTGCTGTCACAAGGGGTACATTAGAGGCCTCTGGGAGGCTGCCTTAAGTCACTGAAAGTTTTCAAAAATAGCTCTAAAATTCAAAGTGATCACTTGGTGATGTCTCTGTAGTTCCTGGCACGATGGCTGGGATCTCACATCTTGATATATGAATCTCACTCCAATCCAAAGTTCTGAACCCATCTATTATAGCTAGTCACAAATCGATTCTTATTCCATGTGAATTATAGTCTTACATGATCAGATAGGAAAGGAAGCACCCCTTTCTTCAGCTGATGCTTCAGGAGTCACAGGAATCTCAGATCAGAATATATGGAACTGTCATTTGGATCAGACTCTCTCACATGGTATCCTGTCTCAAGCCACAGCCCATACTTCAGAGGAAGGTGCAAAAAACTCCATAGTAGGCAAATAAAGAATAGCCTGACCCTTCAGGAAGTCTCTTCCTAACCCGATAGTGTTTGATTTCGTCTAGACCTTTGTTTTAATCTAGCATTTACGGCAATAATCATTGACATTATCTTGCATCTCTTGCTAAATTCTTGTCAATTAGGCTAATTCTGAATTTGCCACGGTGGAATTTCAATGACTATCTCTATAACATTTGCATATCCTCTTAATAGGGATATAACCTAGCAAAACACAGTTCATTTTTAGCATGTAGCCATGGTTTTACCAAATATGGGAAAGGAGAACAAGTTATCTACTACTTAGATATTTTTGTAACTGATTCTTCATCTAGTTCCATAGTACATAGAAGTACATATCAACTCCAACTCTGTATTCACACAGTCCACTAGGGAATGACAGAATGGCCACAAGATCTGCTGTTCTTGTTTGGTTAGTATTGTCACATGTCCTCAGTGCAACTGTCTTGGCATCAGCACATCTATAGCTTCCTCAAGAAAAAAAATGGCACTTTAAGCATTCTACTATGTCAAGTAATAGCAAGCCCACCTTTTGAAGTCAGAGACCCTGTGGTGCTGGAGAGCTGAGACTTTCATTTGTAATCTGCAGCTCCTTGGTGAAAAGGTCTGAAGTGGGTTGTGCCCATGAAAGCTCATGATACTATTTATATATTTTTGTTAGTCTCTAAGATGCTACAGGACCATTGTTGTTTACGTTTTTTTCAGTTAAGGCAGTTGAAGGCAGTGTAATTTGCCAGGAACAATCCAACAGATATTGCAACAATAGACAATATCTTTGGGGATCGTATTGTTACAAGTTTATAGATTACTTTGGGCCAAGGAGTGCATGAAACTTCAGGAGGTGAAGGTTATCACAGGCCACCAAGGAACCAAAACCAATGTGGATGATTAAGGTGACTCACTTAAGCTGTAAGAACACCCACAGAGGCAGCCCCTCAGGAGAGGCTTGCACATGCTGGTTCAAACTGGGAGACAAGGAAAGGACTTTTGATATAAAACAGCTGGGTTTAAACCCAGACTCAGGCCTCCTTTCTGATCCTGCAAATAGGATCTTACATCTGAGGGAGGCCTCAATCCTTGCAGAAGGCTGGAAAGATTTTTGCCTATTAGAGCACCTAATACTAATCAGGGTAACCTCTGATAAGCTAGCATATGGGAATGTTTGTCTGTAATGCTTTTACCTTAATAAAGGTGCTTGCTTAGAAAGAGCTGGGTGGTAGCTTGTAACTATTGGCAATATGCTTTCATAACCCTCAGAGGAAAGCAACACAGACCCCTGGCTGTCAGGCAGATTGGCTTGCTGGGGATATCACAGTGTCAGGCAAAGATCGATGCAGTTTTAAAAGCCCCAGTGAAAAGGGAGTGGGATAAGTGTCCTTGCTCAGAGACCAGTTTGGATTCTCCTGAAGTGGAACACAGAGAGATGTGTGAATCCAGGTGCAGGTATCCTGAAACTAACAGATTATAAAGGATCACCATCCACACTTCCAGGGGTGTTATGTGGAAGGTAAACATATCTAGAAGTGAAGTGGGGGAAACCCTTGCAATTAAGAGTCTGAGGAAAGTAAATGCAAGTCTATGGCTCTTGCTTCAAGGCACCATGTGATAAATCCTTAGGAAGCAGTTTTTGGAGGAGGGAAAAAAATATATAACTAGTCAACTAGAACAGAGATCCCTCCCAAAACCCCACCCGCAAGCATAATGAACTCCTTCCTTCTCAGGAGCCACCAGGGTACAGTCACTGGGCATGTAACATGACTCCCCACTTATCTCCTATCCAGCTTCACAACTCCAGCAACACTACTATTTTGGTATACTGACCAACTGGAGGCAACTGATATAATCTCATGGCTCACATATATACACAATTAGAAAGGGAGGCAAGTGCACAGTTCACAGGCAGCGAGACAGGAGGCAGAGTGCTTTGGACAGGAAGTACTCTAGTTTCTAGAGTGGACAAGGTCCTAAGAAATTCCTCTTCAACTCCCACATAAAAAGCTCAAACACATATCTAAACTTTCTTCCTTAAGGTCTGAACATGCATCTGCATCCCAGCTCCTAACATTTCAAAAGACTTAACATGATGCCACAAAATTATTTCATGGGCCTCAAATATTAATGTCTCTGTCCTGGAAGTGGCACAAAAAACCCTACAAATAACCCTTTGGCAGGTCCAGATCACAGGCCTCCAAGTAGTCTGAAAACCAGGGGCTGCCTCCTGCTACCACTGAAGTCAATGAAATTTTGCCAGTGACTTAAGTTTGGGTCAGGGCCTCAAGAGTTTTTATTCTGTGACCTAAATGCAATACACACTATCTGGATTTCTACCAGTCTCAATAATCTTTCAATGGGGAAGGGTCTAAATGCAATACACACTGTCTCAATAATCTTTCAATGGGGAAGGGAAAAGGGATTTGAGGGTAATTTATTGTCACAAACTCTCCGAATTTTAAACCTTCACTGTTGTAAATTTAAGGACAAAAGTTGCTTTTTATTTAGGACTTGCACAACTAAGTGCCCATACTCTTCCTTGCTGAATATGCCATAGAAACTGCTATGCAAACTATTCATTCATAATACACCAGAAAGTACAAAAAGAGTAATTAATTTCATATTCAGGCACAAAAAATACATAGGAGGAAGACACACATTTTTGGCCAAACACAAACGACGTTTTCCTTGTTTGCTAAAATCCTATTTCAGACAGTGGCTTAGTCAGTGCACCACTCATACCTCTCATCTTTCAGAGGCATGGCAGGGCTCTCCAAAATGTGCAACAAAGGGCCAAATGCATAGCAGTCACTTATGCATTACACAGCAGGGTGGGGAAAACAGGGAGATATACACAGAATATTCAAGGGGCAGAGTACTGCTCCGCACGTGTTGTTTAGGTAGTTGAGAACCAGACTGAGTGAAAGAAGGGTTCCTTGCATTAGCTGCTCAATATTTAGAGAAGACGTTGTGGAAGGAGACAACTGGAGAGGGAGATGCTTGCCCAGGATATTCAAAGAGGGTTTTCAGAGGGAAACAAGCATCCCAGCCCAGGCTGTTAAGGATCAGAGAGGAGCCCCTGACCAGATCACTTAAAAAAAAAAAATCTTGCTTTTCTTCCCCTTTGCAGGACCCCTCCATTGATGCTACCTAGAATTAGGAGGCTACTTTACCTTCCAGCTCATCCTGGGTTGGGCCACTCTGCTCTTCACTCCCCTCTCCCTTCCTGGAGAAAGGAAGAGAGCTGGTCCCTTGTTGCCTCAGTGCCTTAAAGGAGGAGCAGCCCTGCTCCTTATCCATCATCTCTTCTAAAAGAGCTGTTTTGCTCCCTGGCTCCATCCTTTACTACAAAAATATGTTGGTGCGTTAGCCCGTGCAGCTTTGCCCTCCCCACCCTGATTGTCCTCAGCTGCTCAACTGTCTAGCTCGCTCTGCTCTCAACCTCCCTGATCTATTTATTGCTCCTGAGTGCTTAAGTAGCAGAGCACATTAAAAAAAAAAAGGGGGGGGGGGAGGCCTGAATGAATCATGAGGTATGGAATCACCAGGGAATTACAGGGCTTCTTAGGAGGGTGAAGTTTTTGGCTTTTGTCTCTGCATGGAAAGACAACAGCTATGGGGTGTGAGACTAGAACTTCACCACAACCATCATGTACAACGCCATTCATTAACACCCAACAGAGGCACCACAAAGCAAGTTCAGCAGCTACCTTGAAGGAAAATGTTCATGAATAATATCAAATAAATACTCATTTTGAATCTTAAAGAGTTACAAATAAATACCCTTTAATACACATCTGTTGACAGATTCTTACTTATTCCTGCAAAGAGCTGAGCAGAGGCCAACCCTTATGTGGGCCATGAAGCTCCATTCCTCAACCTGCTAATAGGGGTCAGCAATGACTTCAGAGCCTCACTAACTCCAGTCAGGTATATAAAGGGAAAGGCTGATTCCACAAGAGACTACAGCTTAATTTTCCCATAGATAAGAGGAAACTGTTATTGGGGACAGGAGATTCACACATCTCCACAGTCAAGATTATCTCTTTCCACACTGCTTTCCCATGGAAATTTTCCTATTGATTCCTTCTGCAAGGCTCCAAAATAAAGTTTCGCATGATTGGGTCTGGCACTTGTGACATGACTATACCACCGTGAATGGGGTCAGAGGCAGCAGGCTGCATTTCAGATAGTTAGCTGGAAGAGTCCCCACATAGAGATTAACGGAGGCTTGACTAGCAAGATGCACTGCAGTGATACAGCTAAAGGATAGGTAGTTTTGCCTCCCAGCAGAGTTCCATTGACCCAAAAGCAGCCCGATGGGACAGGAGAATTTGAGGATTCTCTCTGTTTTAAATAAGAGGGTATTTCAGCTTCAGTTCACACAAATGCAATAGAAAGAAACTGCTGTCACTTGGATCTGCCCATTGACAATTTATGTTTACTGGCTGTAATGAGGAGTCCCAGCTTGATGCCTGCACAGAGCAGGCTTCCTGAAATTTAGAGCAAGAGACATTGCCTTTGGATGACTGAGCAGCCACAGCTACCCTTTCCTGTGAGTAAACTGCATGGCAGTGGGGGAAAACATGTTCTGGGCCAAAGGAGAGCAGAGACCCAGGTCTCTCCCTCAATCATAGGCACTGCCAGTTAGGGGGTGCCAATCCTGGCTGGCAGGCTGCTCTGCTCAGTGTTACCTGCCTGCTGTACCGGCTTCCTCCACTCCTTCAGCTGGTATAATACACATGAAAGAAGAGAGTTTTGTTGCGTAGGAGGGAATAGGAGTTGTCAAATTTGAGCAGGTAGATGCCCTCGCCTGGGTAGTCATGGCTCCCTGCCTGCACATCCCGGTGGCTGTCCCTTCGGTACACAGGCATGATCTCACCATAACGGTTTCGCGGAGAGCTTTTAGTGCCCCTCTCCACATCTCCAACAGGGGTGAGTCCTGAGTGGGAGAAAGGAGACAAGCAGAAAAAACGGTTACTCACCTTTCGTATCTGTTGTTCTTTGAGATGTGTTGCTCATGTCTGTTCCACATAGGCATGCACACGCTGCGCGCACATGTCAGAAGTTTTTCCCTTAGCAGTGCACGCAGCGTGCACATGTCAGAAGTTTTTCCCTTAGCAGTACTTGCGGTGCCAGCAGGAGTCCCCCCTGGAGCGGTGCTGCTATATTGGCTAATATATACAACCCTGCTAGTCCTCCATCCACTTTGTTCCTTCATACCATACTACTCTGATGAAGGGGTGGATGTGGGATTTGGAATGGACATGAACACCACATCTCAAAGAACACTTACGAAGGGTGATTAACCGTTTTTTCTTCAAGTGATTGCTCATGTCCATTCCATGTAGGTAACTCTAAAGCAGAAACCTAGGAGGCGGGGTCAGAGTCTTAGCCCTCCACAGAATGGAGAACAGCCCTACTGAGAACAGCATCCTCCCTAGCCTGGTGAGCCAGCACGTAATGGCTGGCAAAGGTGAGGACTGAAGATCCCACAGATATCCAGGATGGGCACCTGAGCCACAAAGGCTGTGGAGGAAGCCTGGGCCCTGGTGGAGTGGACCATCAAAGCAGGGGCTGGCACCTCGGCCAGATCATAGCACTCCTTGATGCAGGTAGTGATCCATGATGAAATCGTCTGAGTGAAAACTAGCTGCCCCTTCAGCCTCTCTGAAATTGCCACAAACTGTGGGAACTCAAATGCTAGTGCCCTAACATCCAGTGTGTGCAATGGCTGTTCTTTGCCAGAGATATAGGGCTTGGGGTAAAACACTGGGAGGAAAATGGTCCTGCAAATTATGCAACTGATACACCACCATAGGCAGAAAGGCCAGATGGGTACAGAACCTGATCTTATCCTTGAAAAACACCATGTAAGGAGGATCTGAGGTGAAAGTCCTGAGCTCTAATACGCATCCGGCTGATGTCATAGCCATCAGGAATGACACCTTCCAAGACAGGTATAGTAGCGAGCATGTTGCCAGAGGTTCAAGAGGGGACCCAATGAGCGTGGACAGGACCAGGCTGAGGTCCCACGGCAGAATGGGTTGCTAGACATGCAGATAAAACCTGTCCAGCTGCTTCAGAAATCAGTGGACCATGGGGTCTGCAAAGAGTCTTACCCTGGGATCCTGGATGAAAAGCAGAGATAGCCATCAAGGCTGATGATCAAAGAGTTAATTAAGTTAGTCTCTCATACTCTGATCTTGTCACGGATTAGAAATCAATCAAGAGAAATCAGAGTGGAAGCAAGAAATCAATTTTCAATATATGAGGATATGTGGCATCTGATGGTAAGTGACTCTAGGAGCATACACCTGGGCTCAGAGGGAGAAGGGCAGACATTGTGGCCTACCTTGGTACTCCAACAAAAGTTTGTAGTCACCTGTAGGTAGATTAGCCAAAATGGTGAGGAATTACAGCACCTGATTTGGGGATACAATATTAATTTCTCTTGTACAGTTTTGCACTGACCTTCAATCGCATCTTCTTCCTCTTCATCATCTTCATCGCTTGATTCACTGACCTGCACAGTAATGGCAGTACTGGTGACAGGAGTCCAGTCAAAATAGACCCCAAAGCCAATGTCATAATCATCTGTAGCAAACTCCCAGCAGACACGCTTCCCATCTGGGTGTGTTGGCACCCGGACTGTCACCACTTCACCCCTTTTTACCACCATCTGGGCATTCTTCTCCTTTCCCATTTTGGCTTTGAATTCCCTTATCTTGCAAGTGGTCCATGTGGATGGTGAAGCCAGAGGAGGCTGAGCTGAAAAAATACAAGACAAGCTGCTCCTCACTGGTCAGAATCCAATCAGAGAGAGCTCTTGCATTCAAATCTTTACTTTCCATCTCCTCTCAAAATGCCTTCCATTATTATTGCTCTTAAAACAAGGCATACTACTCTGTTTTCCCTTCCAATCTTCCTTCCCTTCCCCCATAGCTTACAAAGCCATTCTGTGAATTACCTTGTTATTTAAATAGATCCAGACTGCCAAAGTTAAATACAAGCCTAACTGAAAAGGCATTGCACAATACTCCAGCACCTCAGCACCACCTAAAGCTTAACTGTGCTGCTTCTAGAGACACCCACGTGAGATCTGCATTAAGAGGCCTCATTAGTACCCAAGGGAAATACCACCATCACAGTCCTCACCTTTTCTCTGCTCACCAAGGAGGTCTGAAGTCTCCAGCTCTGCTGAAAGGATATCCACTGCACCTGTGTGTTCTGACTGTATCATGACTATATCCCCTGATCCTTGTGGGGTATGGTACTTGATCATCCTCACTACGGCTTCCTGTGCAGGTCAGATAAGAAAGTTCCTCAGTGGCTCTGGGGACCTCCAGTGGGATTATAAACATCCAGGGAGAAGGAAGAGGCATTTCCATGAATTTACATCAATTTCCCAATGGGTTTCTGCTATGAGCACAAAATATTTACTAAATAATTGGCTGGCTCAGAGGACTGCCTCCAAAACTGTGAAACTCTGGAGCCAAATGCTGCATTATGCTACTGTCCTCTGGTTTCCTCAGGAAACACTAGCCCCACAGATAGATAAGTCTAGCTATTTGTACTGCCTCAGCAAGTTTGGGGGCTGTCACGGCTAGATTTGGCAAAAGATCCCAGATCTACCTGGATGCTCTCTCAGATGCTGAAGCTGCTCCATTTCTAGGAACCAGCCTCTACAGCAGGGGTACTCAACATGTGGCCCGCAGGCCACATGCGGCCTGTGGTGCGGTTTGGATTTACACAGGGCTCAACACACATCCCTCAGGTGGGATCCTTTGAACATGGCCTCTACTGGGACCACACTCCATAAGGGCGAGTCAATATAACTGTCTTGAGTTTTAATAGTTCAATTCCTAGACTATCATTGCTCATTAAAAGTCCTGTCATATGGGTGGAAATCGGGTAAATACTGCATTTTATTAATATCAGCAGAACGAACTTAAATGGGGCCTGCACGTTGTATAGTCTTACCTTAATCTTTGTATTCATGCCCGTCAGTGTGAAAGAAGCTATTTGCAAATATATTTGCATGTATATGCAACCACACTTAAGCTGCCATCCTCAGCATGTGCTGTGAATATCATTGTGGCCCCCAGGGCTTCCAAAGTTGAGTAGCCCTGCCCTACAGTATTCACAGTCAGACTGTAGCCACAAGAAAACAGATGCCTATTGTGAACTTGTTAAAACTGTTGCCCAAACTAACACAGGGCTGCCAATCCCCTTTTATCATCGCATAGGCAGGTACAGAACTGCTGCTTCTACAGAACTTCTGAGGGAATATTATTATTGCACAATGTCTCTCCAAAGCTGTATTTGAAATTACAATGATCTGTTTATTTCCTGAAAGTAGGGCAATATTACTCCTTCACTTCCCTCCTCAAAAAAGTACTATATTAGTTCATTTAAAATTAAGAGGAACTCTCTGAAACAGAGAAAAAAAGTCAGTAGTCACGAGTAGTCTTTAAGCCTTAGGAATGGTGGAAACTGACAGGGAACAGGGATGACACCCTCCCCCCCCCCCCCCCACACTCTTCCAGTTTTAAAGGTTTGTTTGTCACTCCTCTCTCCCACATTAAACACAAACAGCCTTCGCTAAATACTCAAAGCCCCAGTTGCCTATGTCCATGCTCGGCAACAAATGGGAAGAAGCACTGCGGCACCTTTCAGAAATAAAAATGGCAAGCCACCTACCTCTCTCGGGGGCTGGATCTGGTTAGCCAGCTTCTCTCCTTGTCCGGCCACTTCCTGGTCCTCTGACGTACCATCTTTTATAGAATTCTCTGCGGCATGCACATTCACAAGGGATCCACTCTGCGGCCTCTCAGAGAAAGATAGTGTGTCATTCAGGATGCTTGAAGAGCATGTTACACAGAGAAGTTGGGTCAAGGACACGTGATAAAGCTACCCCACTGGCTGGAATGCAAATAAACTAAGGGCACTGGGCTTCCTATTGCATTAAAGTAAGAAGCTCTCTCTCAACCATATTCTGCCCTCAGCCCCAGGTAGCTATCCTCTTTAGCTAATCCAAGCCAGTGTGAGCAAGTCTGCTGAACTCAGTCCTCATTTATAGTCCCGTAGGCAGCAGCAATTCATTCCAGTTCAGACCAGCCACATCCCCTTCAAAGAAGGGCTACTTTGCTAACAATGCATTGATGGCAGGGATCAGTGTAACATCTCAAAGGGAAGCACCTCTCCCTGGCCTGTCATTGGATGGATGAATGCGCGCGCACACACGCACCTCAACCAATTATGGAAAACCCTATTCGCCAGACAAAGGGGACTCGCCACCCTCCCCCCTCCCCAAAAAGTGTTTTTTTTATGACATTCCTAATAAGAATAAGAACAGTAATTACTAATAAGTTATTAATAAATATCTTATAAACCTCTACCTTTTCCCTCTGCTGCCATGTCTCCTCCCCTTGCTCCATGAGCTCCCCTGGTGCCTGCTGCCCCCAACCCCTCACCCTCCTCTGCTGTCCTGACTCCTGCCCTTCTCACTGCCTTCAGCCTTCCTGAGACCTGCCCCCCCTCCACCAGCCCTTCTCTCTCCGCCCCGTGCCCACTCCTCCATTAGCCCCACTCTGCTCATGTGAGCTACCCCTCCTCATCCCCTCTACACACCTGCCTTGCCTCTCTCCTCTGGTGCTGGTCCCTCCCCTGCAGGTGTATGCCTTTCTGCTTCACCCCCAGAATCTCCTGGCACCTGCACCCTCCTGGTGCCTCCCCCTTCCCTCACTGCCCCTTTGCCCTCTTCCCCCCCAATACCCACCCCCTCACCACCCTCTGCCACTGTGCCCTTACACATGTCATGCTCCATTCCTGCCTTCCTCATGCCCAACCCTTCTTTCAAACCTTCTCCTAGCACCTGCCTCTCCCCCTCTAGCCCCCAGTGCCCTTACCCTCTCCTCTCCCAGCATCACCCTGTCCCCCCTCCCACTGACACCTCCCCTCCTGCCCTTTTCCTCATTGTCTGCACTTGGCCACTGGGATTTGTCTCTCCTGCACCCCTGTCCCTTGGTGCCTTCCCCTTTCCTTCTCCTGACCTCCCCCCACTGCCCTCAGCACAAGCCACTTCCCCATATTTTTCCTCTTCCCTCCCCCAGGGCCAGCTCTAGGTTTTTTGCTGCCCCAAGCAAAACATTTTTTGGCTGCCTCCCCATTTTTTGTCTTTTACACGTTTGCATTTTGCAATGGGGTGTTTTGTTTGTTTGTTTTTGGTTTTAGCTCTATAAATAGCAAGTAGCATATTCATTTGTTTTTTTCCATAAAGGCAAAGGCACTTCAAGTGAACTCCCCCTTTCACTGCTGCTGGGTCACAGCAGCCTTTCACCTGCCCTGTCCAGCCCTTCCCTATGGACAAGTACCCCTCACTCCTGACCCACTAGGGGAGCAGAGTGCAGGGACAGCACAGAGCCAGAGGGATGGAGGGAACAGTGGGGGTGTACAGGGATGGCACGGGGAACAGGAGGCACAGAGGGACGCAGGGATCGGGGGGAGCAGGGTGCGGTGGAGGCACAGGCAATGGGACACGGGGAACGGGAGGGGCAGAGGGATCGGGGTCTAGGGGAAGTGCAAGGAATGGGCAGCACAGAGCTGGGGGGCAGAAATCGGGAGGGCAGTGCAGAGCCAGAGAGTCGCAGGGAAAAGGGAGAGCAGGAGGCCTGGGGTGCAGCGAATCAGGGGAAGCATGGGGAACGGGCAGCGCGGACACAAAGGGGCATGGGGCAGGTGCAGCGAGCTGGGCGGTTGGCAGGTAGCAGTCTCTTGCTGGCGAGGGGGCTGGGGTCGTGGCAGGACTGGAGCCGGTGGGGCGGGGCAGGGCCTGGCTGTGCCATGTGCCGCAGCCAGCTCCCAGGGACACGCGGCCAGAGCCGAGCTGCCGCAGTCCTTTAAAATCGGCGGGGCCACATCCTGCCGGCATCCCGCCCTCAGGCTCACGCCCCGCCTCCTCACGCCAAAGCTAACGCAGGCACACAAGTGGCAAGAATCGTCGCACTTCCCCCTCCCCGGCAGCACTCTGCTCCTCCGCCAGCCAGTGGATTGGATGGGGCCGCACCACCCATAGTACGGGCTTCGGCCAGCCCGTCACAACAGCCCACCGAGCCAGTCTGCCCTTGCACTCGCCAGCTGGGAAAATCTACTCGCCACAGGCAAGCAGGCGAGTGTATTTGTCGAGCCCTGTGTGTGTGTGTAAATAAAACCAACAAGTGTTAATAGGGAGGATTCCTCCCCTCAGTTCCATCCCTGCTCCACCTGTACAGCATCATGAATCTGGCAAGCCATGCCATGGTAATAAACTAACAGTCACAAACGCACTCTTAAGACTCTCCAGGAGAGAAGATAACGGGAGGAGAGAGACCTTTTAGACAAAACTGAAACAGCAGCAAAAGAAACAGAGCAGCAAAGCAATAGCCTCCTGTGTGTATGTTCCCTATTCTTCCCTACATCCTGAAATTCTCTGATAAATTACTAGGTCATCCCAGCAACCATGCCCATTCCTGAAGAAGTCAATTGTCACAATTGGGATTAAATCTTAGTTCCTAATCCAGGATAGCGTTAAACAACAAACCCTTAGTTTTAGGCACTAAATGTAGCTTTCATGAATAGCAACTTAATGCCTAATAGAAATAGAAAGAGTCTCTTAACATGCTCCACCCCATCCCTGCGCGGCTTCTGTATTTGGTGCCAAAGCACCAGATCCACCTGCCCCCTCTCCCATTGCTGCCTCTGTCAGAGAGGCAGCAGCACGGAGGGTGAGGGGGGCAGATGGGAGCCAATACGGTGGGAAACCAGCTTTTAAGCAGGCTCTCCACCTGTGCCAGCTCTGCGGACCCACCTGCCCTCCCCCCTCACTGCCTCCTACAGAGGCAGCAGTGGGGCAGGCAGGAACCAGTGCTGGGGAGGGAGCTATCTTAAAAGCCAGCTCCTTCCTGCCCCATGCTTCTGATAGGCAGATTGAAAGAGGTAAGGGGGTGGGCTGCCACTTCTGTCCAGCAGCTCCTAGGATCAGTGGCTTGACCTGGCCAAGGTGAGGTGCATGGTGGCTGCCCCACAGCTCCCAGCCCTGAGAAGCTGGTGGCCACTGCCACAGGGCCACAACCCCAGGCTCCAAAGGCCTGATCCATTAGGTCACTGGAGGACAGAGATACAGAGGCAGCAGCACAGAGTGGCAGAGGGCTGGCTGCTGGCCCTGCCCCTCAGGGACTATCAAATTGATGTGGTTACATGCCTATTCATTTACACACTAACATCCCTAGCTAGCTCCATGCAAAGCATTAATGTAAGGAAGCAAGTAACATTTTCAGTTTTAGCAATTTGAGTCTGAGTAGTACAGGGAAAGGTTGTTCCAAGGTAGATTTGAAGTGTCTAATTAAAAAAAACAAACCCAACATACACCAGTCCAAATCCGGGCTGACAAAACACTTTGCTGGGCCCTGGGGAAGAGTGGGATACAGGCCTTCTCCCAAAAGGGATAGGGTCTTGGGCAGAAGGGGCAGGACTGGGGCTAGCCTCTCTAACCCTTCAACACTTCCAAGGCCACAGGGCACATGCCACCAGGAACTCTAGCAGTAATTTAAAGGACCTGGGGCTTCAGCTGCTTCCAAGATAGGGGCCAGGAGCCCTGGTCCCTTTTAAATCCCAGGCCCCATGCGGCTACTCCTTTTGCCTCCATTCCCATTGACAGCTCTGGTCCAGATGCTTTCTGTACTGTTTCTGTAAATAAAGAGGAGTCTGAAAAGAGACAGATGTGACTTTCCTTTCTGTAACTGAACTCTTGGGGATGTGGACTTTGGATCCTAAAACAGGAAGAGCCAAAAAGTAAGTTTTCTTAACCTCATTCTTATGTCTGGAAAGGACATGTCCCATCAATAGGTTCTGCTAAGAGTGGCTCAAATGAGTTGGTTGTCAGGATACAGAAGTAATCCTACTAGGTTGCAGGTCAATAAAGTTGGACTAAGTATTTTGTTGTTACAAAACTTAACTGTTTACAGCCATCACGTTGGAAGCCTGAAATGGAAATCTGAATGTGTGTGTGTGTGTACACACACACACACACACACACACACACACCTTGGACTGTGTTTTCTTTTCAAATCAATATGTGGATGGCAGAGACCCAGATGGGGCTCAAATTTGATCTCTCTCATGGAAGCCAATAGATCAGGTTCAAAGGGTTCTCCTCAAGGTGCTGGAGCTCACTTGGAATCTTTTGTAAAAACAACATTGATGGTTCTGGATTTTGTGTAAAGGACAAAAAGATGTGCACAAAATCTGAAAGCAGATTTAAGAAAAGAAAATCAGTTGGCTCCTTCAAGCCACTTTTTCTTATTGCACATCACCTTCTTCCCTTCAGAAAACTCAGATTCTCACACAGATATATCAGGAAACACTCACATAGGATTAAAATTTAGGCTGGTATTTTCTTTACTGCCAAACGAGGTTCTTTCAGAATTAAATTCCATAAGTGAGCCATGATAAAAATCAGATTGAAGCAAAAGCCTTTTTGCAGCCAACTAGGATGTGGTATAGTCTCTTTGGATGAAATTGTAATTATGAAGTTGCAGATTTCATTAGCATCAAAGCCAGGATTACCACAAATTGTGTTTTTGTAAGGGATTTTTAAAAGGAGGACACTAATGACTGGTGAGACCCACAGTCTGACCTACTTAACACATCCGTTTGTGAAAGTCTTTATTTATATATGTTGGCATGAGAGAAGAAAGGAAGGTTTTGTCTTAATCTTCCAACAGGTGTAGAGAAAAGCCCACTATGTGCCACTCTAAGGTGCACAAGCATCCTAACAGAAGGATGCATACAGCTAAACACGTACCAGCAATTAGTCAACAACAACAGCTGATAATTCAGGGAATAAATGTACCTGAAAACATCTGCTTTTTTGCTGCTGGTTTCGTGTCTAATTTTCTTAAGGATTAGATACAATGAGAATATTTTTAATTAAAAATATCCTTCAGTCAGAGCTCAGTTTCCGGTTGAAAGTTCTCTCAGGTTATTTGGATTACAGAGCTCGCTGAGTCATAGGTTGCACTGTACTATTTTATAAGCTTAAAATAACCTCAAGTCAAAAGGAACAGTTCTTCCAATATTTTCTATTGCATACAAACCCTGAAAGCAGAAAGTTCAGGTCTCCAGTGCTTTGGAGAGGAACAGCTGTCAGACACTGCTCACACAGGAGGTAGGGAAGGAACACTTAAAGTCATCACACACAAAGATCTTTTCCTACCTGCACTGTGAGGCCATGGACTCTGATGAGGCAACTGACTGGGACTCATATTCTGTTTTTTGGGCTGAATCTTCATTGTCTAGCAATGGGTGGAAGATAGAAGATGAAACAGCTTTTAACCTTTGAGAATGCACAAACAATAAAGCAAAACTCTAGCTAACACCCAGACACACCATGGTTGTGCAGCCTTGAAGCCTAAAACTTAAATTTGTGCTATAAGCCGCCCTCCCCAGCAGCAGACAAAGGGCTTTTAATGGCTCTAAGTGGAGGGTATGGGAAAAGATAACACTTTCTGATACAGGACACAGGGATCAGTCAAAACAAGTTTCTGTTCAGATGTAGGCTACAGGTTCTTCTCCCCTCCCCTCCGCCTCCAGATCATGGCAAGCTCTAGCTCCACATGACTCCAATGCATGATACAGTTTTGCTGTCTGCTTCCATTACCCATTGAAGATAGTTAATTGGGTACTGACAGGCTCCCAATTTCGAAGATTTTTGAAGTTGCAAAGTACAGTAAGAATTCTCTTTTACTTGTTTTTTTATAGAAGAATTTGGTGCTGGTGAAAAACAATAAATTAATTGCCCTACACATTAAAGGCCGCTTATCCATAGAATAGGAACATATCAGAAAGAACAGCCCATTGCCAATGTTCTGCAACCTGACCTAGACAGGGATTCCTTTTAAAGAAGAGAACAACTCTAGACTGAAGCCCATCTCTATCTTCTGCCATGGTCAAACAAGGGGACCAATTAATACCAGGGTAGTGAGGTCTTTGTTTTGTTGCTTTTAAAGGAAAACATTTTGCCATCAAGAAATGGATTGAAACCAGGATAAAAAACAAACACAAAAACAAATTGAATTTATTTAAATTGGATTTTTAAAATCAATAAAATACTACAGTTCTTGTTTAAAAATAAGTTACACTTAAATGTTATTACAAACATGCTACACCTACATTTACAGCCTCATAAAAATGAAATAATGGCCCTAGTCTATCCAGCCTAACAGCCAGCTCTTGTTCCTTGAAAGTTCTGGGCTTTCAGTTTGTTAGTCTGCTGAGAAATATGTGCAAAGACAAACACAGGTTGGAAAGGATTGTTTTTGTTCTATGCTTCCTGTGGTGATAAACCTGGACCAACCACAGCACAATTAGTTAAGACGTGGTTAAAAGAAAAAGAGGCAATATATAGGAAAAGACAGAGTCAGCACAGAAAGGAACATTAGAGTGGACTGGAAAGGAAAAGGGAAGACATTCACAGCATACACACAGCTTTCTACATCCCCCCACACTTTTGCCACAGAAAAACTGCTGTGACTTTGGGATGTAAGACAGACCCTATCTGGGAATATTTTGAAGAAATTTGTTCCCCAGGTAAAAAAGGAAAATATGTCAAGTGTGAGCAGTGCATGAAGATAGAGGGCCTACCTGCAAGAATGAACCATCATGAGGAAAACTTATTGGGAGAAAATGATGCGGATATATGTGTACATCAACTTTAAGAACATATGAACAGCCATATGGGTCAGATCAAAGGTCCATCTAGACCAGTATCCTGTCTGCTGACAGTGGCTAATACCAGATGCCCCAGAGGGAGGGATCGCAATAGATAATCCTCACTTGATCCTTGCCCTGTCACCCATCTCCAGAGAAACAGGCTAGGGCAGCGGCCCCCAACCATTTGAGGCTGCTGGGCGCCAGAGGGCATGGCAGTTCACCTGCCAGGCACCAGAGGGCGGGGACACTTGCGCACCGGGGGCAGGGCGCCCCCCCCCCACACCTGCCAGGCACCAGAGGGCGGGGACACTTGCGCACCCGGGGCTAGGCGCCCCCCCCCATGCACCGCGCGCCTGGGGCCGGCGCCCCCCGCCCCTCCCAAGCGTTGCGCACCTGGGGCCGGCGCTCCCCCCATGCGCCGCACGCACAGAGCACGGGCGGCCAATTCGCGACACTCCCGGGGCCAGCGCTCACTGTGTACCATACGCCCGGGGCTGGCTCTGGCCCCATGTGTCTGGAGCCAGGCCAACCCTGAGCACTTAGCAGGCGCACACAAATGCCCCCACGGGCACCATGGCGCCCGCAGGCACTGTGTTGGGGACCACTGGGCTAGAGACACCATTCCTACCCTTCCTGGCTAATAGCCATTGATGGACCTAACCTCCATGAATCTATCTAGCTCTTTTTTGAACCCTGTTAAAGTCCTAATTTTCACAACATCCTCTGGCAAGGAGTTCCACAGGTTGACTGTGCGCTGAATGAAGAAAAATGTCCTTTAGTTTATTTAAACATGCTGCTTATTAATTTCATTTGGTGGCCCCTAATTCTTATATTGTGGGAATAAGTAAATAACTTTCCTTTTCCAGTCATGATTTTATAGACCTCTATCATATTCCCCCATTGTCTCTGCTTTTCTAAGCTGAAAAGTCCAAATCTTTTTAATCTCTCTTCATGTGGGACATGTTACAAACCCCTAAATCATTTTGTTGCCCTTTTCTGAACCTTTTCCAATGCCAATATATCTTTTTTGGAGTTAAGGCGACCACATCTGGACATAGTATTCAAGATGTGGGCATACCATGGTTTTATATAGAGGCAATAAGATATTCTCTATCCCTTTTTCAATGATTCTTAACATTCTATTTGCTTTTTTGACTGCTGCTGCACACTGAGTGGATGTTTTCAGTGAACTATCCTCAATGACTCCAAGATCTCTCTTGAGTAGTTGTAGCTAAATTAATCCCCATTATATTGGACATATAGTTGGGATTATTTTTTCAGTCTTAGAACATAATGCTCATAATTTGTGTCATTTCCTAAATCAGTAAAAATTAAGTTCTTAAAAAGTGGCACAAAGTATACCTTTCTTAGATGGTGTACAATCCTATACTGATCTGTAAATTAACATGTGTTAGTGATCAGATTTGCACTACTGTTTGAAGAAATATGTGAAATAGTATCACCAGGAAAACTGGATTTAAATCAATTTTCTTTGGTAATTTAAATCAGTTATTTAAATTGCCTTGATTTAAATCAATCTATCCTGTTTGAACCCCACTATCCAAATAATAATTCTGTTTGGTTACAGGATCTAAAAAAAAAAATCATCTGTTTAATTTATTATCTGATCATTAGGAAAGAGCTACCATGAATGTGATGTTAAGAACCTTTTACTAGAATGTAAACTCATTAAAGTAGATTCTATTTGGAACCTGACTAAGCCTCTAAAAATCTGGAGTGATGTAATTTATGAGTGTGAGAGAAATAATTCCATTCACTAAAACTTTTTAGAGCAATAAGTAAGTTCACAAATCAACCTTATTGCTCACAGATTTCTATCCTGGCTCCTTAAAAGTCTCCAAAGAATAGTACCTGAGAGGAACTATCTTGCCTACAAAGACTGTGTGAACAGCCTAGACCTCAATAGCTACAGAATATGGCAGGAAACAGTATTTCAAGCCCTTCCCCCTGCAACAGGCATCAGAAGGAACCTAGCAATGTCTGTTGTTCTCATGATTCAACAACTGATGAAGTTGCTGCACAACAAGAATTTTTCTTCTACCTGGTAACCAATGTGAGAAAATTTTGTTGCCGAGAGTTGGAAGAAAATATGGCCTGAAAAAGAAACAGCAGCAAGACTGTCATATGATTCAATTCGGCAATGATGGATAAGGTAAAGAAGTGAGAGTGCTAGACTGGGAGAATAGGGAAGAAAACAGGTCTGAAGTTTTGGAGAACTAGAGAGAGGTCATAGATACTAATGGGTTTAGAGTCTGTAGTAACAAACAACTTAAGCAGAATGTCTGTCTATATTCTATTATAAGCCTAAGTGGGTGACAATATCTTTTAGTGCTGAAAGGGACAAGCTTTTGAGCTTACACAAAGCTCTTCTGGTCTGAAAATGAGCCGTGTAAGCTCTAAAGCTTGTCTCTTTCTCCAATAAAAGTTGGTCCAAAGGTATGCCCTTACCTACCTTGTCTCTCTGATATCCTGGGACCAAGACAGCTAAACAGCACTACATCTAACAAAATAAATAAGTTGAGACAAACGGCAGACAGGAAGGTGGTGATGGGAAGAAAATGTTTCTTCCACACGTAAACCACCCTCTCAGACTTAGAGAAAACAAACATTCCAAAGTTTGCAGTGAAAGATGCCAGAGTTATGCTCTACATGTGCTTCAAAGGAGAATGAAATTTTAGACTCATGGACCCTTCAAATCAGAATGCTGGGCCTCTCAATCTTCTTAAGACGACACACAGGATGGTCAGCAGCTCTTACCACATCCAACTCCATACTTGCTTAGGTACCACAATGGCAGGTGCATTTGATTTCACATCAGGTATTCAACATTTCCTCACCCACCCCTGTCCCCTCCCCCCCATCTACAGTGCATTTTAGATGATACCACTGTGCTAAGAAAACATTTATCACATCTCATAAGCCCTGCAGGAAAGGTCATTATTCCTAGCTACATTTTACAGATAAAAAAAATAAGGCAAAGAGAAGGGAAATGGCTTGCTCAGGGTTACACAGTAAATCAGTGGCAAAAATGTGGTTAGAACCCAGAAATCTCAAGTCTTAATGCAACACTAGACAATGCAGTTTTTTTTTAAAAACAAACAAACCCAAAACATACAAACTTAATTGGTTCCCTTTAATGAGCTGTATTGTTTTGTTAGACTAAAGATTGCAATAGAGTCATTACTGGTCCCTAGAGACCAAAGAGCTAGAAACTTAAGCAAATCAATTATCATCATCATCTCCCCTACATGAGGCAATGGTTACACCATAGCATATTTATCTAAATATAAAACAGGTGGTACACTAGGGAACAGGGAAACAACCCAATACCCTCAAGAATAGAGGCTGTTAGAAACCAACTATTGATAAACAACTTCATCAATCAAAAGGTTACACTTTTTCTATGCTTAGAAATTATATTGACATTGGTATATCAGCAAAGGATGTGAAAAAACTCTAACACATATCAACAAAACTCCCAGCGCAGTTGCAGCTAATGCTGGAAAAGAGCTTCCGTTAATATAGACAACATTGTTCAAAGAAGGGCATTCCTACATTAACAGGAAGGCTCCTTCCATAAGTTGTATTTACACTAGTGGGCCAAATCAGCATAGGCTCCATAGCTTAGTCATATGGTAAGGGGATGTACTGACATAATGATGATACCACCATCCTAGGCTAGGCGAGGCTACATATTGTAGACATACCCTTAGATATCAGAAGAAGTCACCAGCAGCTTTATCTTATCTCAAGGCCCCAGCCAAAGCTGTTGTAAGGCCGGATAGGCTGCCTGGATGAGTACTGAGAACAGTGTATTAGAAGGCTGAAAGAAACAGCTGCAGAAAGCTCTGCTTTTGCAACAGTAGCATAACTGGTGTGAAAACTGACTACCTTGTTATAGTGGCTGTAACTCTCTTCAGTCCCCTTGAGAAGCTCGAAGCCCACCCTTCCCTGCTGCTGCTCCTTGTGATGCACAGGCGCTGTACTTCCTGGGCTGCCTGGTTGGCGCTACAGACACCCAGTCTAGATGAGGGGGGAGAGCAAGCAGATGGAGGAGAGGAACTCCATCAACTGGGATGCGCTCTCAGGGAGGCGCTGCCACACCCAGTCCCAGCAAGTCTGCATGCACAGTCCGGGCTGGTGCCCCTCAGCCACGGTTTACAGCCCTACCCCAGCAGCTCCTCCAGCGCCCCCCCCCACACACACACACAAACATACACACACACTCTCTCTCTCTCTCTCTCACACACACACACACACACACACACGTACACACACACTCTCTCTCTCTCACACACACACACACGCACACACACACACTCTCTCTCTCACACACACACACACACACACACGTACACACACTCTCTCTCTCTCACACACACACACACACACACACGCACACACACACTCTCTCTCTCTCACACACACGCACACACACACAGAGGGATACAGGTCTTTACGGTTTGCCGGGGTGGAGCCTCGTCGCGACAGGAGCAGGCCTGCGCAGCAGCCCTGGGCCTGAGATGAGGCCAGCTTGACAAGCCGTGTCTGTGGTGTTCCCTCAGCCTGCAGCGGTGACTACGCGGAGCCCGACCTCACCAAGTCAGGCGACCCGGCGGGGAAGGAAATAGCTGCGAGAAGCCCGGAAGTGGAAGTCTCCATGGTGACTGTTGCCAGCAGGACGCGTTGCTATGGCTCTCTGGCGGAGCCCAGCAGCTCAGGATCGAGCAGACCCCGGAGGAGGAAAGCCCGGGGGGGCAAGGCCTGAGACTGGATCCGGGCCTCAGCCAGAGGCTGAGTCCGAGCAGGAGCCCGAAGAACCCGAGTCCCAGCCTGTCCCTGCCTGCCTCGCCTGGAGCGCTTTGGAGGTGGCCGAGTGGGTCCGGCAGCTGGGCTTCCCCCAGTATGAGGTGAGGGGCTAGGAGGCGGGCGGTGAGCTAGCGGGGTGTGTAACCGCGGGCCGCGGCTGGGCTCCCTCTAGGCCTGAGCCGGAGAGAAGTTCCCGCTTCCCTTGCTCCGCCTTGCGGCTTCGCAGCGCCCCTGAAGCTGACATCGGGGCACCCAGGCTCTCTGCTTTCTTGGAAAACTAAGGGCACGTTTCTAGCTCTGGAGGTCCAGAGAAGAGCTGGGAAGTGCGAAGCCCGCGTCCAGCAAAGGCTCAGAAACCGGAAGGAGAGAAAGCCGCTATCTCCAGATTGGGCGGTGGGGAGGCTGATTAATATTGGTTCTCGAATGCGTGGGGTTGGCAGTACCGCTCCCTGCAGTACCGTGTTTCCATCTGATTTTCCTGCCAGGAGTGCTTTACCACTAATGGCATCACTGGCCGCAAACTCATCCATGTTAACTGCTCAAACCTGCCGCAGATGGGCATAACGGACTTTGACCACATGAAGGTGAGTGCCACACACAGAGATGCCTTCCTCCATTAGGAATCTTCAGGGGATAGCCAACTTAGTCTGTACAGGATAAACTTAAAAAACAACAAATGTCTGGTAGCAATTTATAGACTAACAAAACATGTAGATAGTATCATGAGCTTTCCTGGGCACAGCCCACTTCTTCAGCTGTGCCCACAAAAGCTCATGATACCATCTACATGATTTATTAGTTTATAATATGCTACCAGACATTTGTTGTTGTTTAAGTTTATCCATTAGGAATGTTTAAGATTCCCATCTCATCCCTTAGGTTTCCATGTTTGTTCTCTCACTACAACAAGTAAGATGTAACATTATTCAGGCACTGTTAATAAGAGGTTCTGTGCTCTCATACTCAATAGGACAACTAGAATCTGCTCAACAAGATTTGATTCGTGGATGGATGTGATATACACAATGCAGCACTATTTTTCTCAGGACTGGGCACATTTGTTTTAGCTGCAGTAAAAATCTTCCTGAAGTTTACTGTAAAACTCAAGATGAAACCTGACCCTAAACCTTTTATGAAGTTCTGAAAAGCTGTATTTTAAAACAAAAATTATGTCTGGGCCTATATGCCCACCTATTTTCCATGCAGTACCTGAGGCAGAAGGATCACAAAGGGGAAAGAAAGCCTCCCCTGGTAGTACTGGAAGAGCATGTACAAGTAGGAAATAACAAAAGTCTTTCCCAAATACTTGCTTGTTTAAACAATTGCAGCCCAGCATTGGAGACTTGAAGGGACTTGAAGGGTCGATTCTTCACAGTGTTATTTTGTTTAAACAATTGCAGCCCAGCTTTGGAGACATTGGACTTGAAGGGTCGATTCTTCACAGTGTTATACTGGTTGCATGTGATGTAACTCTTCTGAAGGCAATGGAAGTTAACAAGTGTAAAAGTGTTATACTATTGGAAAAGCAGGGTCAGGAAATTTGGATCTACACCTACATTTCTGGGTGTTCAGATAAGGGATGTGAAAGGTTAACTGGTAAGGATCACCCTAAACAGTAATGCTTACCGGTTCCGGTTAACTGGTAATGGGGGTGGAGGTGGTGCTGGAGCAACTCACTGCCAATGGACAGGGCAGCTAGAGCAGCCTCTGTTCTCAGGAAGCCCGGGCACCCCACAGGCAGGAACTGCTCTGGTGTCTGGAGCAGCCCCTGTCTGTGTGGGGCTGCTTTGGCAGGGGCTTGGAGCCAGAAGCTGGCAGCAGCTCCATCCCCTACATGGGAGCTGGGAGCCAGCAGAGCCAACCCCAACATCAGTACAAGAGCTGGGAACCAGCAGCAGCCCCTATCCCATTGTGAGGTTGGAGTCCTGTGGGTTGTTCTGGCCAGGCTGGAGTGGTCCCCAGCCCAGGATCCTGCTTTAGTCAGTTAACCAATTAAATGCTATGCCAACCATTTAACCAGTTAACCGTGTGATGGGGTGCAGTCATAGAAGACCCCTTTGGGGTGCCTCCTGGAGTGCTGACAAAGCCACTGACACTCACCTTCCTGCTCTTGGGGGCTTCGCACTACCCAGTCCTGCTGGGCCAACTCCGCTGGTCTCCCCCAGCCAAGGCACCAAGCTGAGATCAATGTCCATTCCCTCCCCCCGTCTCCCCGAGAAGCAGTGAAGACATTGAATCTCAGTCTAAAGCAAAGTGCAGGTTAGGGCCCAGCTTCCTGGATACCACTCCCCAAATGGGATCAGAACCCCAAAGGAATTATTTAGGTAAGCCCCCTTTAGCAATGAAAGGGGGAATGTACACACTGATTCCCCCTGACCAGGTAACAGTTATTTACACTGGGCTTCGTAGAAAATAAGAGTGATTTTATTAAGTACAAGCAGTAGGATTTAAGTGGCAATAAGTGAGAACAGGCAGAGCAAAGTAGATTACAAACTCAAAATAAAATAAAACACTTACCTAGCTCTAACACTGAAACCTCAGTACACAAACTTACTACAAACTCACCCTAAAATGGTTTCTTTTCCAGCTAAGCCTTCCAAACCAGGGCTGTTCCTCACCCTGGGGTCTTTGGTTCCTTCCCTCCGGTGTGCCAGCTAAAGACTGGGAATCTTCCCATAGTTTTAAAGATTCCATTTTTGCATAGGAAGTTACCTGGCCAATTCCTACCAGTTAGGAAGGCTATGTGACTTCCTAAGACCAACCACTGCTAAGACTTAGGACAAAAGGCTATTTGCATATGATTGCCCAGACATTGGCTGTGTCTAGATTGCCACAGTTTTGCAGAAAAGCAATGCCGCATCCAAAGAACGTGTCCGCTTTTCCAAAAAAAAATTCAGAAAAGTGGACATGCTCTTTTGCAATCCCTGTAAAACTCGTTCTACAAGGCATAAGGGATATGTTGAAAGAGCAGGTTTTTCCTAAAATTGGTGCAGTGTAGACACGCCAAATTTTGGAAAAGCCTTTTTCGACAGAAAAGCAGAAAAAGATATGCAAATTGCTGTTTGCCATTTCTGTAGGTTTTTCCAACTTCCCTTTGTAGTCTAGACATAGCCATTGAGGCATTCCAGCCTTGGAAACACTCTTGAGGGCTTTCATTTACACATTTAAAAACCATAAATCATTCCATACTCCATATGTCTAATTTTGCACACAAGAATGATACCTTTACCAAAATAAGATAAACGGATCCAGCCGATTAAGGCATTAAGATTGATAGGTTACATGAGGCAGTTTGTCCAAAGCATCTTTGAGTTATGGATAACGATCCAGCCGATTAAGGCATTACGATTGATAGGTTACATGATGCAGTTTGTCCAAAGCATCTTTGAGTTATGGATATTTGTGTTCATAAGTCCATTTCATTAACCAGGATTTACATCCCTAGTTCAGACAAACCTCCGGTGTTTTTTAGGTTTACTTACCTTTGTCCTACCACTTAATGAAGAGATGTATATGTAAAGGAAAATTGTGTACAAAATCCCATTTTTAAAAATCAAGCTGTTCTTCGTTAATAAAAACTGTACAAAATCCCCATCTAAAGGACAAAAAACCCTCAGCTAATAAGAAAGAAGCAGAAGGAATTTTTACTTGCTACTTTGGGGATGGGCAGAGGCCTCATCCTTTTGATGCAGCCTTACATGAAATGTTCCCTGGTTCAAAATAGGGTCCATATAGTTCCCAAGTGGTCAGTGCCTTTCTGGAAGGTTCTGAGATTATATGGAGTGTGTAGACACAGCCCAACAATAAGAGTATGTATTGATAATACTCAAAGGAGAACATAGAGAACTGCAAATTGATGTAAAGTATTTTCAGTGTCCCTAATGAGATACAGTTTGTGACACATACTACAAAAGCTAACACAATCATGAAATATTCTAACACTATTGTATTAATGTTATATATATTTATGGGCTTGTTAGTGATTGTATTCATGGCTCAATGGGTCAGACAAGGAATGATTCCTGCAAGAACAAAAAATCGCTGGTGTTGTTGAGTGAAATTAATACAAGTCCCCAACACTGGAACAAAGCAGGCAACAAATCTTTCGAAGTTTCATACCTTCCCCGCTGTGCCTTCATCCCCCCCAATAACACAGATTGGTTCAAAACACCTAAAACAACAAAGGACTTGAAACTGTATAAAATATAAACTCTGGCATCAAGAGAAAGTCACTCATACACTATCCAAGAATTGACAGGCATTGAGTTGACTGTGTCCAAGACATACAGGCCCTGCTGTGGACCTGAAATGGTTTAGAATCTGCCAAAGTCTCCAAGTGGAAGCTGGGCAACCACCAGCTAAGCCAGGCATGCGTACAAGTTGTTTATTATTGATATTTTTTGAAACACTTTTTTTCTGAATAAATAGTACTTTGTTTTATAAAAGCTGACTGGTCAATGAATCATCCTGTCATTGCTCCTGAGAGAGCAGAACTGCAGATGTTGAAATGAAGTAAGAGCAGCTGGAATGACCACAATAAATTGCAGGAATCTATATCCTAAGATTCCAGTCTGGAGGGAGCAAATCATGGAATACCACCCCAAGAAAGGTGACTCCTAGAGACCTAAGCTCTATGCAGAGTGCCTCTGAGGCGGCCACCGAGGGCTCAAAGGTGCAATTAACTCAGTAAATCTGATACTACTATCCCCATTTTATGGACGTGAAAGTAGGGGTGTCAGAGAGGAAACAAGCTGCTCAGGGTCACACAGCAAGTCTGAGATAGTCTGTGTCTATCTTGTGCTTTGACCACCAAGCCCTTTCTTCCTCGTTTTAGTCCATGACTTGGAAACAAATATTGACTTAAATAATAACATTAATATACTCCATTAGGGAAATGCAGTAGAAAACTAACCTGTTAAAACATTAGCTATACTTTAATGTGACCATGTTTTCTGTATGCCTAAATAAAATACATTACCTAAGCCAGCAGAGCCCTTAACACGGTAGTCTACAGTCTTTTTATGCCCAAAATCACAAAGAGTTTGGGTATGTCTACACTACAAAGTTAATTTGAACTAACAGACGTTAGTTCGAATTAACTTTGATAGGCGCTACACTAGTGCTCCGCTAGTTCGACCTTAATTCGAACTAGCGGAGCGCTTAGTTCGAACTAGGTAAACCTCATTGTACGAGGACTAAGCCTAGTTCGAACTTACTAGTTCGAATTAAGGGGTGTGTAGCCCCTTAATTCGAACTAGTGGGAGGCTAGCCCTCCCCAGCTTTCCCTGGTGGCCACTCTGGCCAACACCAGGGAAACTCTATTGCCCCCCTCCCAGCCCCAGACCCCTTAAAGAGGCACCGGCTGGCGACAGTGCCCGTGCCAGGTGCAGGGTCAGCTAGCTGGGCGCGAGCCAGCCACCCGATGCCCCCCAGTCCTCCCCCTCTTCCCGGGACCAGGCTGGCGGCTCCCGGGAGCTTGCCCAGGACCGCAAGAGGTGGGCACCCGCCTGGTCCAGTGCAGACATCGTGGACCTCGTCCACGACCTCCGCACTAGGCACAGGAACACGGCCGGCTAGGGCAGGG